TAGTGCTGGGACTAGTGTCATGATGTCGGAGACTCAGACTGATGAGGTGAACGACTAGGGCTGGGACTAGTGTCATGATGTCAGAGACTCAGACTGATGAGGTAACGACTAGTGCTGGGACTAGTGTCATGATGTCAGAGACTCAGACTGATGAGGTGAACGACTAGGGCTGGGACTAGTGTCATGATGTCGGAGACTCAGACTGATGAGGTGAACGACTAGGGCTGGGACTAGTGTCATGATTTTGGAGACTCAGACTGATGAGGTGAATGACTAGTGCTGGGACTAGTGTCATGATGTCGGAGACTCAGACTGATGAGGTGAACGACTAGGACTGGGACTAGTGTCATGATGTTGGAGACTCAGACTGATGAGGTGAATGACTAGTGCTGGGACTAGTGTCATGATGTCGGAGACTCAGACTGATGAGGTGCTGTCTCTTATACACATCTAGATGTGTATAAGACATAGGTCTTGTTTAGTGCCATCATGAGACGATGATTTCTGGCTTCAAACCTTAACTTCAGTGAAGTTTGTTGTTAATGTGTGACTATGTTTGAAGTTTATAATAATAAATATCGGTTTGATTGACGAGTGATTTGCTCTAATTAGTTAACAGAAGATAAGGATGATGATAGAGTTGATCTGTTTGCTCCATCATGACTCGATAATTAACAGTTATTCCACCGCAAGAATTAATTCTTTATCTTGTGTACCAATGCAAGAAGTAATTCTTTATCTCGTGTGCAGGTTACCTATGCCAGAAGTAATTCTTTATCTCGTGTGCAGGTTACCAATACAAGAAGTAATTCTTTATCTCGTGTGCAGGTTACCAATACAAGAGGTAATTCTTTATCTCGTGTGCAGGTTACCAATGCAAGAAGTAATTAATTATCTCGTGTGCAGGTTACCTATGCCAGAAGTAATTCTTTATCTCGTGTGCAGGTTACCAATGCAAGAAGTAATTCTTTATCTCGTGTGCAGGTTACCAATGCAAGAAGTAATTCTTTATCTCGTGTGCAGGTTACCTATGCCAGAAGTAATTCTTTATCTTGTGTGCAGGTTACCAATGCCAGAAGTAATTCTTTATCTTGTGTGCAGGTTTCCAATGCAAGAAGTAATTAATTATCTTGCGTACAGGTTATGGGTTATTATTACAGTTAATTTTTAATTATATAATTAATAATTTAATAATTAGTTAATAATTAATTATTATTATGGGTTATTATTACAGTTAACAGTTATTCCAATGCAAAAAGTAATTCTTTATCTCGTGTGCAGGTTATGATCGACGCGCCCTCCTGCTTGAAGGTGTCCACTAGCGACCAGGCACCTCCCCCTGTGGTGGTACTCACCCTGAACCAACACACTGTGCAGAACTCCAGCAGACACAATGAAGTGGTCGCAGTGTCGTGTCTCATACACCAGAACTTCCCGCTGGACAAGCCTCCACCTCAACCTCCCTACACGCAACATTTCTGTGGTACACTGTTAGAAAAATTACCGTTAACGGTATTACCGGCGTTAACGGTATTACCGGCATTTACCGTTAACGGTATTACTGGCGTTTCAGTGGCCGGTCGGCACGTGAAAAGAAACACCGTGTCGCCGTTTTTATTCTAATTTAACACTAGAAATCCGTAAAACATCTGATAAAAACGGCAAAATTGTTTATTTTCACGGGGCGACCGGCCACTAGAATGCCAGTGGGACAGTTATGATTGCTTAGCTTCATTAGTTAGTGTATGTCAACATTAATGATTGCTTAGCTTCATTAGTTAGTGTATGTCAACATTAATGATTGCTTAGCTTTATTAGTTAGTGTATGTCAACATTAATCATTGCTTCGTTTTATATGTTAGTGTATGTCAACATTAATGATTGATTTTCTTTATTAGTTATTATATGGTACGATGCAGCAAGTGACGTTTAACTTTCACCAGGACGGTACGAACATTTGTTAGTGTATGTCAACATTAATGATTGCTTAGCTTTATTAGTTATTATATGGTATGATGCAGCAAGTGACGTTTAACTTTCTCCAGGACGGTACCAACAACTCGAGTGGTCAGCGCGCCTACCATCCTGACGAGCTGAAGAAGAACTCTGAGCTGAGCCTGGACACACACTACTACCTTGCACACCAGCTACATCCTGTCATAGCCCGCCTCTGTGATCCTATTGAAGGCACCCATGCTGCTAGGATCGCTGAGTGTCTGGGTACTGACATTATTTCTTTGTTATTTATTTTGTTATCAGGGTGTAATATAACTTATTGATGTAGGTATATGTTTGTTATCAGGGTGTATTATAACTTATTGATGTAGGTATATATTTATTATCAGGGTATAATATAACTTATTGAACTTAGTGATGTATGCAGTTGTATAGCACTACAGGATGCCGTGATCGTAGCTTAGGTTGGACACACCTCGACTTATGCTGGTTTATAGTTCATTTGAATAAGCTTTTGCATGCTGAAATGAAGAAAAGTATATTAAAGACATATAATAAGTATATTACAGACATATAACAAGTACATTACAGACTTACAACAAGCATATTACAGACTTTTAACACACTCTATAACTATAGTACGACATATAACAAGTATATTACAGACATTTAACAAGTATATTATAGACATATAACAAGTATATTACAGACTTATAACAAGTATATTACAGACATATAACAAGTATATTACAGACATATTTAACAAGTATATTACAGACTTATAACACACTCTATCCCTGCAGTACGACATACGGCAGAAGGCGCTGAAGCTCACGGCCAACAGCATGTACGGCTGCCTGGGCTTATAAGTACATTACAGACATATAACAAGTATATTACAGACTTATAACAAGTATATTACAGACATATAACAAGTATATTACAGACATATTACAAGCACATTACAGACATATAACAAGTATATTACAGACATATAACAAGCATATTACAGACTTATAACAAGTACATTACAGACTTATAACACACTCTATCCCTGCAGTACGACATACGGCAGAAGGCGCTGAAGCTCACGGCCAACAGCATGTACGGCTGCCTGGGCTTTATTATATAGTTTATTTATTTTTATAGTTTATTTATAGTTTATAGTTCATTTGCATGCTGAAATGAAGGAAAGTATATTACAGACATATAACAAGCATATTACAGACATATAACAAGTATATTATAGACATATAAAAAGTATATTACAGACTCATAATAAATATATTATAAAATATTAATAAGTAGGTAGGTATATTACAGAATTAAAATAAGGATTTTGTACACTTATAATAAGTATATTGTAGACTTATGATAAGTACCTATATTACAGACATACCTATAATAAGTATATTATACACTTATAATAAGTATATGATAAACGTATTATGGACTTATAAAGCATATTACAGACTTATAAAAGACACTCTATCCCTACAGTACGACATACGGCAGAAGGCGCTGAAGCTCACGGCCAACAGCATGTACGGCTGCCTGGGCTTCGTAGGCTCCCGCTTCCACGCTGCGCATCTCGCCGCTATGGTCACAGGTGCTGAGCGTTATTTTCATTTATTTATTTTATTTAATTTATTTATTTTTATTTCATTTATCTATTTTATATTTCATTTATCTTTTTTTTATTTTATTCATCTATTTTTTCATTTCATTTATTTATTTTTATTTAATTTATTTATAATTTTTACTCGCCGCTATGGTCACAGGTGTCACGCTCCAGTAACGTTCAATGTAAATTACATTGAACAAGTGTAAATTTAATGCTAAAAAGCAACTAATATTGCCAAAATTCTGCGTTTAACGGTAAACTTGTTTATTTTATATTGGAAACTACAGTGAATAAGTTAATGCTAAAAAATGCAACTAATATCATCCAAAAATTATTGTACAGGCAAGGGCAACTTGTTTAATTTATTTAGGAAATTACAGTGAACAAGTGTAAAGTTAATGTTAAAAAAACAACTAGTATTGCCAAAATTTAGCATTTCATGGTAAACTTGTTTATTTTATATAGGAAACTACAGTGAATAAGTTAATGCTAAAAAATGCAACTAATATCGTTCAAAAAATATTGTTACAGGCAAATTTATATCTTTTACACGAGCTTACTTCTGAGTTTAACGGTGAAATTTTTTAGTTTATTTAGGAAATTACAGTAAATAAGTGTAAATTTAATGCTAAAAAAATAAAAAATAAAACAACTATAAAAAGCAATTGTTGCAGGCAAGGGGCGGGAGATCTTGCTCCACACACGAGACCTCGTACAGAAGCTGAACTTTGACGTCATATATGGAGATACAGACTCCATCATGATCAATACTAACTCTACAGACTATGACCAGGTCTTCAAACTAGGCAACAAGGTACGTTACAGACTCCATCATGATCAATACTAACTCTACAGACTATGACCAGGTCTTTAAACTAGGCAACAAGGTACGTTACAGACTCCATCATGATCAATACTAACTCTACAGACTATGACCAGGTCTTCAAACTTGGTAACAAGGTACGTTACAGACTCCATCATGATCAATACTAACTCTACAGACTATGACCAGGTCTTCAAACTCGGTAACAAGGTACGTTACAGACTCCATCATGATCAATACTAACTCTACAGACTATGACCAGGTCTTCAAACTCGGCAACAAGGTACGTTACAGACTCCATCATGATCAATACTAACTCTACAGACTATGACCNAGGAGGGACTGGTCCCAGCTCGCGTCCAACGCTGGCAAGTGAGTACTAGTGGCTGGTACTAGTGGTACTAGTGGCTGGCAAGAGGAGCTTAAGGGCCTCGACATCGTCAGGAGGGACTGGTCCCAGCTCGCCTCTAACGCTGGCAAGTGAGTACTAGTGGCTGGTACTAGTGGCTGGCAAGTGAGTACTAGTGGTACTAGTGGCTGGTACTAGTGGTACTAGTGGCTGGCAAGAGGAGCTTAAGGGCCTCGACATCGTCAGGAGGGACTGGTCCCAGCTCGCCTCTAACGCTGGCAAGTGAGTACTAGTGGCTGGTACTAGTGGCTGGCAAGTGAGTACTAGTGGCTGCTACTAGTGGTACTAGTGGCTGGCAAGTGGAGCTCAAGGGCCTCGACATCGTCAGGAGGGACTGGTCCCAGCTTGCCTCTAACGCTGGCAAGTCAGTGGCTTTATTAACGTAATAATTTCCTCTATAATACGGGGATATTATTTAATAATTTAATACTATAGGACTCGAAGGAAACTCTTATCTTATTAATGAAAACTCTAACTCTTGGTTCGATGATATAACGCATTGTTTTCATTCGATACTATTGGACTTAATGGAAACTCTTACTCGTGCTGCAATGGTTGAACTTTTTACATCAAACTGACCTTGATGATATTTAGCAAGACAATTGCATTGAAGGCCATTGCGGTTATATTCTAAGGAGAGATCATCAGAGAAATTATTAAATATTCTCTGAAGAAAAACCACCAACTCAAGCATTTGAGAGAACTTCTTTCACTTACTAGGGCTCAGTTCATAGTTGTATGTTGATACGCATTCCCATGTTGGATGTTGTGCCACTAGTCGAATTAGAATAGTTAATATCATCATCTAGTTGATATATCATTATATATTTCCATCAATATCACTGTGGTTATTGTTAATAGTTTGTCTCACAACAACCTGTTGGAGGTATAACTTCAGTGTATCTCACGTCATGAACAATGAGACTAGTAACAAGTTTGTTATCTACAGACACATCGTAACAATTTTGTTATCTAAAGACACATCATAACAAGTTTGTTATCTACAGACACATCGTAACAAGTTTGTTATGTACAGATAACATATGAGAGGTAATTAAGATAACAAATTTGTTATCTACAGACACATCGTGGAGCAGATCTTATCGGACCAGTCAGCGGACGATCGCCTCAACAACATCCACACTCACTTAGAGGAGCTAGCGGCCCGTCTCAACAACGGAGAGGTCAGTTACGTCAGTTCTTGAGGTCAGTTACGTCAGTTCTTGAGGTCAGTTACGTCAGTTCTCGAGGGCAGTTACGTCAGTTCTTGAGGTCAGTTACGTCAGTTCTTGAGGTCAGTTACGTCAGTTCTTGAGGTCAGTTACGTCAGTTCTTGAGGTCAGTTACGTCAGTTCTTGAGGTCAGTTACGTCAGTTCTTGAGGTCAGTTACGTCAGTTCTTGAGGTCAGTTACGTCAGTTCTTGAGGTCAGTTACGTCAGTTCTTGAGGTCAGTTACGTCAGTTCTTGAGGTCAGTTACGTCAGTTCTTGAGGTCAGTTACGTCAGTTCTTGAGGTCAGTTACGTCAGTTCTTGAGGTCAGTTACGTCAGTTCTTGAGGTCAGTTACGTCAGTTCTTGAGGTCAGTTACGTCAGTTCTTGAGGTCAGTTACGTCAGTTCTTGAGGTCAGTTACGTCAGTTCTTGAGGTCAGTTACGTCAGTTCTTGAGGTCAGTTACGTCAGTTCTTGAGGTCAGTTACGTCAGTTCTTGAGGTCAGTTACGTCAGTTCTTGAGGTCAGTTACGTCAGTTCTTGAGGTCAGTTACGTCAGTTCTTGAGGTCAGTTACGTCAGTTCTTGAGGTCAGTTACGTCAGTTCTTGAGGTCAGTTACGTCAGTTCTTGAGGTCAGTTACGTCAGTTCTTGAGGTCAGTTACGTCAGTTCTTGAGGTCAGTTACGTCAGTTCTTGAGGTCAGTTACGTCAGTTCTTGAGGTCAGTTACGTCAGTTCTTGAGGTCAGTTACGTCAGTTCTTGAGGTCAGTTACGTCANCGCAATTCGCGTGGAAGTCGCGCATGTTGAGAAAGCTGTGTTGGAGAGAGTCTACGCGAACATTCAAGAACGCCTACAGCACTGCATCAACAATTTCGGTCACCCCACATTATTATTGTTATTTTGTTATTATTGTCATTTTTCACACTTAACTATCTGAAATGCCATTTCTTTGTGAACCTGATTGCACCAATAAAGTTGTTTTTCAGTTAAAAATGTACAATTTTATGACGTTTTTAAAACCGTCCGTCCTCTCTGCCGCACCCTGTATTTAACATGCCACTACATGAAGGCAATCTCTTCTTACACAGCCTTCAGAAATTCTATAACTCGAAATTCAAGAACTGCCGCATGTCCAGATTTGCTTTACACTTAAGCAAAAAAGGTTTTAGTTGAACCACTTACATTAATTACGATCAATACATAAATAAACGATTAGTTATTGCTTACCAACTAATGGCGTCTATACGATCACTATCAGCAGTCAAGTTAAGTGAAGTCATTTGGTTAACCATTGCCCTGCTTTAAACTTGTACATTATTTGATTGTAGAATATTTGATTGTAGAATATTTAATTGTAAAATATTTAATTGTAGAATATTAAATTGTAGAATATTAAATTGTACAATATTTGATTGTAGAAAATTTAATTGTAGAATATTTAATTGTACAATATTTAATTGTAGAATATTTAATTGGATAATATTTAATTACAGAATATTCAATTGCAGAATATTTAATTGCAGAATATTTACTTGTAGAATATTAAATTGTAGAATATTTGATTGTAGAATATTTAATTGTAATTGTTCTAGTAAAGATTGAAGCGACATAAGAATTATCTGAAGCACGTTGCTGCAGGTTGACCTGGAGGAGCTTGTGATCACGAAGCAGCTGACGAAGAGGCCTGAGGACTACCCTGACAAGGCCTCCCTGCCTCACGTGCAGGTCGCCCTCCGCCACAACGCCTCCTCTGGCAGGCAGTTCAGGCAGGGCGACACCGTGCCTTATGTTATTTGCAAGGTAATTATGGTGCCTTATGTTATCTGCAAGGTAATTATGGTGCCTTATGTTATCTGCAAGGTAATTACGGTGCCTTATGTTATCTGCAAGGTAATTACGGTGCCTTATGTTATCTGCAAGGTAATTACGGTGCCTTATGTTATCTGCAAGGTAATTACGGTGCCTTATGTTATCTGCAAGGTAATTACGGTGCCTTATGTTATCTGCAAGGTAATTACGGTGCCTTATGTTATCTGCAAGGTAATTACGGTGCCTTATGTTATCTGCAAGGTAATTACGGTGCCTTATGTTATCTGCAAGGTAATTACGGTGCCTTATGTTATCTGCAAGGTAATTACGGTGCCTTATGTTATCTGCAAGGTAATTACGGTGCCTTATGTTATCTGCAAGGTAATTACGGTGCCTTATGTTATCTGCAAGGTAATTACGGTGCCTTATGTTATCTGCAAGGTAATTACGGTGCCTTATGTTATCTGCAAGGTAATTATGGTGCCTTGTGTTATCTGCAAGGTAATTACAGTGCCTTATGTTATCTGCAATGTAATTACGGTGCCTTATGTTATCTGCAAGGTAATTACGGTGCCTTATATTATCTGCAAGGTGATTGCGGTGCCTTATCTTATCTGCAAGGTAATTAAGGTGCCTTATGTTATTTGCATGGTAATTAGGGTGCCTTATGTTATCTGCAAGGTAATTACGGTGCCTTATGTTATCTGCAAGGTAATTATGGTGCCTTATGTTATCTGCAAGGTAATTATGGTGCCTTATGTTATCTGCAAGGTAATTATGGTGCCTTATGTTATCTGCAAGGTAATTATGGTGCCTTATGTTATCTGCAAGGTAATTATGGTGCCTTATGTTATCTGCAAGGTAATTATGGTGCCTTATGTTATCTGCAAGGTAATTACGGTGCCTTATGTTATCTGCAAGGTAATTAGGGCGAAACGATGTTATCTGAAAGGTAATTAGGGCGACACCGTGTTATTTGCTAGGTAATTAGACCGGGACCAGTGACCAGAATGATTTTTGGCGATGTTTTGTTGCATCAATGCGCTTAGTGTATAATTAATTGTTAAGTCACTGTTCTTGTTTGATTTATTGATTCGTGAACACTGATTTGCATCGATTCTAAACCAGAGTCTTCATTTATAATTTTAATGCAATTTTTTTGTGAACAAATCTTGGCTTGTGATTAATGATTGCTTAGCTTCATTAGTTAGTGTATGTCAACATTAATCATTGCTTCGTTTTATATGTTAGTGTATGTCAACATTAATGATTGCTTAGCTTCATTAGTTAGTGTATGTCAACATTGATCATTGCTTCGTTTTATATGTTAGTGTATGTCAACATTGATCATTGCTTCGTTTTATATGTTAGTGTATGTCAACATTAATGATTGCTTAGCTTCATTAGTTAGTGTATGTCAACATTAATGATTGCTTAGCTTCATTAGTTAGTGTATGTCAACATTAATAATTTCTTAGCTTTATTAGTTATTATATGATTTGACTTGCAGCGAGTGATGTTTAACTTTCTTCATGCAATTTCCTGTGAACGAATCTAGGCTTGACATTAATGATTGCTTAGCTTTATTAGTTGTTATATGGTATGATACAGCTAGTTACGTTTAACTTTCTTCATGCAATTTTCTTTGAACAAATCTTGGCTTGTTATTACTGATTGATTTTCTTATTGTATATCGCATAGTTTTGATGCAGCAAGTGACGTGACAAGTTATTGTATAGTTTGATGCATTGAGTTACGTTTAACTTTCATTAACTTTCACCAGGACGGTACGAACAACTCGAGTGGTCAGCGCGCCTACCATCCCGACGAGCTGAAGAAGAACCCTGAGCTGAGCCTGGACACGAACTACTACCTCGCACACCAACTACATCCTGTCATAGCCCGCCTCTGTGATCCTATTGAAGGAACCCATGCTGCTAGGATCGCTGAGTGTCTGGGTACTGGCATTATTTCTTTGTTATTTATTTAGTCCTGTCATAGCCCGCCTCTGTGATCCTATTGAGGGCACCCATGCTGCTAGGATCGCTGAGTGTCTGGGTACCGTCATTATTTCTTTATATTGTTTAGTATAAGTAATTAGCACAGCAGCTACATCCTGTCATAGCCCGCCTCTGTGATCCTATTGAGGGCACTCATGCTGCTAGGATCGCTGAGTGCCTGGGTACTGGCATTATTTCTTTCTGTTATTTAGTTTAACTAATTAGTGGTTACATTAGCGCTCTGTTCTAACTCATTATAGCACTATGTTCTAACTCACTAGCGGTTACAGGATCAGCTACAGTGCCTGGGTATTGGCAACAACTCTGTATATTATTTATAACTTATCAGTGGTTACATTAGCGCTCTGTTCTAACTCAGTAGCAGTTACATTAGCACTCTGTTCTAACTCAGTAGCAGTTACATTAGCGCTCTGTTCTAACTCATTAGTGGTTACATTAGTGCTCTGTTCTAACTCATTAGTGGTTACATTAGTGCTCTGTTCTAACTCATTAGTGGTTACATTAGCGCTCTGTTCTAACTCATTAGTGGTTACATTAGTGGTCTGTTCTAACTCATTAGTGGTTACATTAGTGCTCTGTTCTAACTCATTAGTGGTTTACATTAACGCTCTGTTATAACTTATTAGTGGTTACATTAGCGCTCTGTTCTAGCTCATTAGGGTTACAGGATCAGCTGCATTTAATTTCGATTGTTAAAAAATCATTGCATAATATTATATGCCATATTACAATAATATTTAATAATATATTAAAAATCACCCCTGGATTATTGAGGTCGCTTGTCAGGCATTCAGGGAGAAAAATTTTTTTATTTATGGCCTTATTTATTTGGAGCGAGACACTGCGCTCTGACATGTAACTTATCCATTTGACAGTGATGAATAACACAGCAATTTACATTTGCTGTGCGTGTCATGGTGCAGGTTCATTCAAATGTTTTACACTTTTCTGTGTTTATTTTAGACACTAGTCGCGACAATGGCTCTATGTCTTGCACCAAATAAATATTCACCACATCTCACCAAACGACAGGACTCGACCCGTTGGGCTATTGGGCTACCGACTTGACCTTTTCTCCGGACTAGTGGAATTTAAATCAACCTTCCGATTCTAATTTTATTTTTGGCTCCCTTGTATACGTAAATAATTTATAAGAACTAGTGAAGAAATTAAGCGGGCCCGGCGTATTTTTTCTTTAGATATTTTGTTGAGAAATTGAAAAGGAGAAAAATGTACACCAATTTCGAGCATTGGCACGGTGATTTGATTTTGCTGAGAAATTGAAAATGCGAAAAATGTACACCAATTACGAGCATTGGCACTAAAAATTTTATTTCCGACTTGACATCTCACCAAACATTCACCACAGGACTTGACCCGTCGGGGTACCGCTCAGCGCGTCAGTACAACCACGACGATGAGGACGACATCACGGGCGCGGGCCTGGACATGTCGCCCGAGGAGCGCTACAGGACCTGCACGCGCTTCACCTACACGTGCCCTGCTCCTGAGTGCCACACCTCCGTGTCTGTTGACGGGCCTTTTGTACGGGTACGTCTTGCCTGGAGTACGGGTATGTCATGGCCTTTTGTATGGGTACGTCTTGCCTGGAGTACGGGTACGTCATGGCCTTTTGGAGGGGTACGTCTTGGCCTTTTGTATGGGTATGTCTTGCTCTGAGTGCAGACCAGGGGCCAGACTAAAGTCCGTGTCTGTTGACGGGCCTTTTGTACGGGTACGTCTTACCCTTTTGTATGGGTACGTCTTGGCCTTTTGTACGGGTACGTCTTGCCTGGAGTACGGGTACGTCTTGGCCTTTTGTACGGGTACGTCTTGGCCTTTTGTACGGGTACGTCTTGGCCTTTTGTACGGGTACGTCTTGGCCTTTTGTAGGGGTACGTCTTGGCCTTTTGTACGGGTACGTCTTGGCCTTTTGTACGGGTACGTCTTGGCCTTTTGTACGGGTACGTCTTGGCCTTTTGTACGGGTGCGTCTTGGCCTTTTGTATGGGTACGTATTGGATTTTTGTATGGGTATGTCTTGGCCTTTTGTAGGGGGTACGTCTTGCCCTTTTGTACTGGTATGTCTTGGCCTTTTGTACGGGTACGTCTTGGCCTTTTGTACGGGTACGTCTTGGCCTTTTGTACGGGTACGTCTTGGCTTTTTGTACGGGTGCGTCTTGTCTTGAGTGCAGACCAGGGGCCGGTCTATCATAGATATTTAAAAATTTGTACGTCCGTCAGCCAATCAGTGACAATATTTAAGAGTTCGTAGTTCCGTCAGCCAAACACTGATGGCTCTTCAAGCCAAACCCTCCAATGACAGATCAGGAGAGTCGTCAGCTATGTCTATTTAGGTCGCTATGTGTACTTGGTGACATCGGGTGCTGCTGTCATGATTGATACGCTACAATTTTATATACTTTTGGCCAAGTGTGTGTGTTTTAAGCCTGGTGCAAGAAATATTTGATAACTGTTGGGGTGCGTATGCAGAACAATTTTCATGTCGGGATACTACCTCCGAATTTTGTTATTTAAAAAATATAAGGGAGAGTTGGATCTAAAATTATAATGTGATTTGTTTCCTAGCTATAAAGTTTATGCTGGAAGCAAAATTTTCTTCAAAATTTGCAAATGGAAAATTGTTCCTTATAAAATGTGGATTTAAAGGTGCTTTCTTCAATTACGTTAGTTTTTTTTGAAATTTATCAAATGGACATGGGATTATGGGTTTCAGGGTGGCAGGGTTTGAAATAACGGGCTTCACAAATTGCAGGAATCATGTATGTATGCTGGGCACAACTTGCCAGTCATTTACTGCATTATGTTCTATTGTATTGATAATGGCAGTTGGCTCTTAGGAGTATCCGTCAAGCACTCAATTCTCTATTTGGAAACAATCCAAACAAAGTTCAAAATAAAATAATCTTTTTGGTTGGATTGATAATGGCAGTTTGCCCTAAGAAGTGGTCATCAAACGGTCAATTATTTACTTAAGAACAATGCAAACAAAGTTTAAAACAAAGTTATCTTTTTGATTGGCCAAAAAACCGAAATATACAGAATACCGTGGATGTCCATCGCTTCAATGAGTCCTTTGAGCGATAGATACTACGGTAAAGATGTTACTGATTGCCCAAACTTCATGAACGAATTTAAGCTTTTCTTCTCAGTTACTTTGTTCTAGAATTAATTCTTTATTTTTGCCTCTGCCTTACATTATCACTAAATCGTTATTGTTCATGACGGGGATGTTAATAATGGCCTAAACTTGAAGCATGAAGCTCTTCTTCTCAGCTAATTTTATCTAAAATAAAGTTGTTATTTATGCCTCTGCCTAAGATTATTACTAAATCGTTATTGTTCGTGACAGGGATGTTACTAATGGCCTAAACTTGAAGCATGAAGCTCTTCTTTTCAGCTAATTTTATCTAAAATAAAAACGTTATTTATGCCTCTGCCTAAGATTATCACTGAATCGTTATTGTTCGTGACAGGGAGCGAGTGGCAAGCAAGAACCCTTCCTGCTGAGCTGCCCCAACCCCAAATGTTCCTTGCCGCCCCATGCCAACCTCACGCCTCTCATCAACTGCCTCACGCAGCAGCTGCATAAACACATCAAGACCTACTATGACGTTAGTATAATATAACTATACTATATATAAACTCGGCTATACTGACATATTCTAACATTGCTTCACCTACTACGACGTCAGTATAATATAACTATACTGTGTATAAACTCGGCTATACTGACATATTCTAGCATCGCTTGACCTGCTATAACGTCAGTATAATAGCGTCCTATAACTCAGCTATACTGACATATTCTAACATTGCTTGACCTACTATGACGTCAGTATAATATCGTCCTATAACTCAGCTATACTGACATATTCTAGCATTGCTTGACCTACTATGACGTCAGTATAATATCGTCCTATAACTCAGCTATACTGACATATTCTAGCATTGCTTGACCTACTATGACGTCAGTATAATATCGTCCTATAACTCAGCTATACTGACATATTCTAGCATTGCTTGACCTGCTATAACGTCAGTATAATAGCGTCTTATAACTCGGCCATACTGACATATTCTAACATTGCTTCTCAATTTACGTTCGAAGTAACCAACTAACTAATGTGGGCCACATCTTCTGTTGCGATTTGCTTGTGCCGAACAATTACTCTTCTAATTTACAATGATCTAATTTCCAAATAAAATTTTTGCTACCCATGATACTTTGACTTCCGTGTTGTGAAGATAACGAATTTCTAATTCTATTTATTATTCATTTAATCAAATGGCCTCCGCTTATTAAAGTCTTGTAATTCAAGCAATTCCATGCAATCGTGTGCCTGCAAGCATGATTTTCCTCAGTCTATGTTCTCAGTCACATTGCTTCTCAGTCTATGTTCTCAGTCACATTGCTTCTCAGTCTATGTTCTCAGTCACATTGCTTCTCAGTCTATGTTCTCAGTCACATTGCTTCTCAGTCTATTAAGTAACTAACTAGCCAATGTGAGCCGCATCTTCTGTCGGCATGATTGTGCCGAACAATTACTGTTTTCAATAATTTAATTTTCGAACAAAATTTTGCTACCCATGCTACTTTGAGTTCCGTGTCGGAAAGATAGCGAATTTCTAATTATATTTAATATTCATTTTATCAGTTTTGCCTCCTATTATAAAGGATTGTAATTTCACGCAATTCCATGCAATCGTGTGCCTGCAAGCATGATTTTCCGAATTCCATTCCATCATTCCTTTTGCAACAAATTAAACTCGTGTCATGTGTGAATGTTTGTAATGCATCTCTTACATACATCACTGTAGTGCATCTCTTACATACATCACTGTAGTGCATCTCTTACATACATCACTGTAATGCATCTCTTACATACATCACTGTAGTGCATCTCTTACACACATCACTGTAATGCATCTCTTACACACATCACGGTGATGCATTTCTTACACGCATCACTGTAATTAACTGTAATACCTAAATCTCTTACATACATCTCTAGAATTTATCTCTTACACAGACACATCACTGAAACTGTAATACATCTCTTACATACATCACTAGAATTCATCTCTTACACAGTCACATCACTGTAACTGTTATGCACCTCTTACAAACATCACTGTAGCACATCTGTTGCGTTTATAGAAGTAATTGTCTAGCAGAGTCACAAGTCACAGAAAGCATCGTGCATCAGGTGGCCCAAATGAGGGCGGATGAACGATAATCAGAGGCGGCGATCCATCGTGGCCTGGGACTGCTACTGTCTCTTATACACATCTAGATGTGTATAAGAGACAGATTATATACCGTTACTAGGTATAATCATACGATGCTGATTCATCACTGTAATTATATTATATACCGGTACTACTAGGTATAATCATATGATGCTGATTCATCACTGTTATTATATTATTTACTATAATTATAGCATTTTACTATAAAAGTGTCTTAAAAGTGTGGAGCATGCCATTAGAGCTCAGGAGATGAGGTCTCAAGACATGCGTTACTGTCGGAAAATTTCGTGCTGATGTCACTTTATGTTTAATATTTTTAATTATTTTTCTAATATTCACCTGTTTTGTGACTAAGGCAAAATATGATGAAAATATGCGCGAAATATATTTTAATATATATGAATTTAATATAATATTTCTTTATAATATATGAATTTAAAAGCAAAGAAAACGCCAAACAAATTCCCCATATCGAATTTTCTTGGCGTTTTCTTTGCTTTTAAATTCCTTGTGAACTTGCGATATAAGCAGACTGATAATATAAGTATTTAGACACAACAATATTTCATTTTGAATATAATGAAAGATACAAAAATAACTGTGTAAATATCCATACTGATAACAAATTTAATTTTAAATACCGTATAATGAAAGATACAAAAATAACTATCTAAATACAGTATCCATACTGATAAGAAATTCATTTGTCAACAGTACACGGAGTCTCAGCTGTACAAGCAGCTCTGCTTCTACGACTACATCTTCGACTTCCAAAAGGCGTGCGTCATGAATAAAGATGACCGTGAGTATTGACACACTCAGTAGAGTATGAGTATTGACACACTCAGCAGAGTATGAGTATTGACGCACTCAGTATGAGTATTGACACACTCAGTATGAGTATTGACACACTCAGTAGAGTATTGAGACACTCAGTATGAGTATTGACACACTCAGTANCTTTTATACACATATATACACTTTTATGTGTCTTATAACCGTTAATTTCTGATGCAGTTTTAAGTTGTCTTTTTGATATACTTTTAAATATATGTATATACTTTTAAATACATACCTATATACACTTTTATGTGTCTTATAACTGTTAATTTCTGAACAATTTTTCTAATATTCTTGAATTTTACCAGACATTCGCAACGACAGCTTGAGGAAAGCGTACATGGTGCTACGTAACGAGGTTCTCAGAGTCCTCAGCCTGAGCGCCTACTCTCAAGTGGACCTCGACGGCCTCTTTGCTAACCTCTTCATGAAGACCAGCAAGTGAAATATCAAATTTATTGATCAATTACATCGAATTTATGGATGAATTGCGGCAAATTTATGGATGAATTGCATAAAATTTATGGATGAATGGTGGCGAATTTATGGATGAATTGCGGCGAATTTATGGATGAATTGCGTTAAATTTATTTGGAATTGCGTAAAATTTATGGATAAATTATGTCAATTCTTCGTATGAATTACGTCAAATCTTTGGATGAATTGCGGCAAATTTATGAATGAATGACAGCGAATTTATGGATGAATTGTGACGAGTTTATGGTTGAATTACGTCAAATTTATTGATAAATGGCGGCAAATTTATGGATGAATTGTGGCAAATTTATGGATGAATTGCGGCAAATTTATGGATGAATGGCGGCAAATCTATGGATGAATTACATCAATTTACGGATCAATTACATCAAATTTATGGATGAAATGCGTCAAATTGATGGATGAATTGCGTAAAATTGATGGATGAACTACATCAATTTATGGATGAAAAATATCAGTTTGTGGATGATTTACACGAAGTTTATATAGAATGTGTTGATGTAGAGCTTGACTTGCTGACCAATTCTCAAGAATGTTATTGCTGATTCTTGGGCTTAATTAACGTAAACAAATAAAGAGCAATTACCTCTACTATTTGCTGCTGCCAATTAAAGTGAAATTGTATTTGATTATTCAGTTTGATTGGAAGCATAATTTCAAGTTACAGTTGAATATTGAATGATATTTGGTATGAATATTATAGAAAACCTTTTCATACTCGCACAAAATATGTGAATGTTATAAAGTGTATGCGAGTTGGCGGGGGGGTATTTTTCTGGACAATTTAGTGACTTGTTCAATGGACGAAATGGAGGAATATCCTTCTTGTTTGCTGTACATAATAACATAGCATAAAGTTATTCTCCGTGATTTGAATGAACCGCATGGAAATTAACGGTTAGAAAAACTAATGTGAATATGAATTATCCCGTGTATTCAAATGGGGGTATTGTGGGTAAATACATGTGAATAAATAAATCTGTAGCAATAATTCCTAGATTTTATTGCCACATTTTTCAATATGTTACTTAATAATTGATTTGTAATTGGTTTGGTTTGATATGATCGGTTTGAGGGCTGGGTAGATTTAGTTGACTGCGTTGCCACTGTCGTGGTGAAATGTACGTAGATATTTAGTGACTTTTATCCCTAGTTTTTGAGTTGTGTTTCTTGATTTGACTTTAAATACCTGAATTGAACTATACTTCTTCCACATTGACCTGTGCAACATGACGTTGTAAATACTTTAGTTGAACTAAGTTCTTCAACATCCTCCCGGTGTTCAAATTCTTTTGTTACTGAGTATGTCTTTTAAATACACTTTACATAGTCTTTTCGAAGTTAGTTTTACTCATTTGAGCTGATTACTTGGAAAAAGATATTTGGATCAGTTGTTCGAGTACTATATTGATACTCTTAATGATAATGGTTGCCTGGAAGAACGTGCAACTGATATAATTTCCTGAGTATAAATTTAGCTAATTTCTGATAGTTTTTAATAACACAATTACCTTGACGTTTCAGTTGATATTTAATGCATCTTTCACTTGAATTCTTCGCCTTTTATGAATTGTAAGACGAAGCAGTACGTTGAAATCATCACATCTTAGGAATATGAAGATAAATCAGTATGTCGAATCAGGCTATTACATTAGCATCAGAGATCAGGCTGTTAAATAGCGTCACAGAGATCAGGCTGTTACAATAGCGNGACGCTCCGAGTATGAACATCTTCAAAAACAGACTAGACGAAGCTATGCAGGAGCATATGTTCAGTCTTGAAATGCCTAGCAAATTACGGACCAGGCAATAAGTCCAGCAGCTATCTCAATCAATCGTCAGCTATGGAAAGACCGGGTTCCAAAGACCGGATCCCTTGTGAATCAAGTCACGAAAAATTCATGAATCGACAACAGGCCATGGGCCTATTTCTTCAGTGCCGACACTTCTATACTATTCGATTCTATTCTAAGGTTTCTTGGAAGGTAAATGTGGAAAGAAACCCCAATACAAATCCACTACCTAATCCCGTGAAATTTACATTTAGAGAGAAGTTTGGTTCGTCCATAATTCAAATTATAATTATCCTGCACATCAATAAGTGTGCTTAGGTTTACAAGTAAAATTTCGTACCGATGAACGCAACACGTACTGGGTTTGTCAATAATATTCATGGCCATAAATGGGCGTTTCTCGCGGATTTTACATTATCGGTTTAAATAAATTTATCTGAATATAACTTTTATGTCTTAGTCTGATCAAGATTCACAATAGCGTCTTTGGATCGGTCATGTTTAGTTTTTATGGTGACTAATAACTATCGCCCTGGGAAAACACGAGGGTCCAGCCATGCGTTTACACCCTTTACAAGATTGCGAGGTTACCGACTTTGCGCCAGTGGCTGCTGGGCCGCGGTGATGAGTGGACGTGTGTGCACGAGCAGCGGCGGAGCTCGCTGCAACGTGGGCTGACCGTATTCGGAAACTCATTTCTTTGTGATGCGATAAGAAAATGTGAAAAATGTTTTGAAAATTTATCGATTTATATCCAGATATCCCTGTTAAAGGCTTTATTTAATTAATTATCATTTGAAATGATCAAGTATCGACTAGTGATGATGTACTGCCAAAGTGTTAATCTCGCAAGCGTTTTATCGTCACGATTTTCGTGTATTTTTTGTAAAGAATCGATTGTTGGTCGAGGCTTAAAGCGTCGAACTGCAACGGCGGCGATGGCTTTGATATACACGCCTTCCAACGACGCAAATTACACGCTTCTTGTGCCGAGAAATTCAGTGTTTATGTGCACCCTAACCGAGGAGTCTTGCTATGCTGAAATACAAGAGTTCTTCAGTGTCGAGAAATTCAAAATTTTTCCGCGGTCAATCAGCATTAAAATGGCAATATTGCTCTTAGGGTATACGATAAATATTTTATGTTTAGGTTCCTGAGGAAATAACTATGATATTGTTTATTTATAGATTGAAAAGATTGTAGATTAATAAGATTATCGATTAATATGATTATCGATCTATAAGATTATTGATTAACAAGATTATTGATTAACAAGATTATTGATTAATAAGATTATAGATTAATAAGATTATCGATTTATTTATCGATTAGTAAGTCGGTTAAAATATTAAACGCTTACGGACTTATTTTTTCGGGACGCTGGAGCTAACAACGAAATTTACGCACATTTCGACCCTTCCATAGGTTGCATGTGCTTCCATTTGTGCTTGCCATTCTTAGGACACGTTTTTGTTAGCGAGTAGGAAATTACTTCTTGATTGTAAGATTGTTTCGAATTTCACGTCTATCTTCGGTAAGCAGTATTTGTCGCTATCACAGCCACGAGTCACGTTGCTTGAATGCCGTTTGGACGTAATCCTAATTCAATTATAGAGTCTGCTAGAAATTTGTTTTTAAATTTAATTTCTGCCACACTAGTTGCATGTGATGAAAGTCCTACGAAAATGTTTCAAAGTTAAGCATAATCTCCCTACTAATACGAGCTGTATGTCAGTGGCATGGCTCTAGTGGCGTCTCGTTGTTCTGCAGCATCAATTTTCACAGCTCATTTCAACTTTATTAACACGTTGACTACAAAGTGGTACATATGCGTACCACGAAATGTATTTCTCCAGGAGGTAGTGGTACATAATTCAGGTTACCTAAAATTGGCCAAATCCTCAATTGAGAAAAACTAAATCACGGAATTTGTCCGGAAAAAATGACCGTCTGGCAACCCTGTTTAAAAACAGTACAAAAATGAAATAATAGTACAAGATGAAGCAATCGTAGTCAACGTGTTAATTCATACATTAATTATAAACTTCATTAAATATTTTCGTTTAAGTGCATATGATTTTTCTATTGAGAACTTGCAATCACTTCCCAACAAATGATCAAGGATATTTTTGAAGTTGACACTGATTATTCTTTTCTATACTTTTTCAGGGTATTGACTACACTTAAAATTATAAAACTAATAAACTAATATAAAACTAACAAGAAACTGGGTCATATTGACTTATTTTTATTTCTGAAGCTGAAATATCTCGTAGAAATATTTAGAATATAAATTTTTGAATATAAATATATTCAAAAATTTTGAAAATTTTTAATATAAATATATTTACATTCAATTACGTAGGCCACGTAATTGAATAAGCAAATGTTCATGCCGGCACATTCATCATAAGCTTTCATAAGTCAAAATATTTACCCTAGCTTAACGTTCATATTGTTATGAAGGCGTTCAAGAATTTACATTTTCATTGTATTTTTTTTACACGACATTAGTAAAGTAAATAAGCTTAAGAGTCAAGCGTTAAAGCGCTGGTCCAGGCAAAATAAAATTTGAAAACTCGATGTATATCATCGTATATCAAGCTGTATATACCTCATCTATATCATTAAGTATACATTAAGTATCATTGCGTATACATTAAGTATATAATATAGGAGCAATATGTAACTTCAATTTTCAGGAAACCACATAATCTGAACAGGAAAGAAGCAATAAAGTTAGTTATCTCGTCCACATACATGAGATTTTTCAACTTTTAGTTCCATTATCCTATTAGGTATATTAATAGGTATATTCATATGAAGGTATATTACATAATAGGTATATTCATATGAAGGTATATTAATATACCTTCATATGAACTCTAGTTAGTTCTTTCTTTTTACCAACTTTAAAATCTTTTGACCTTAAACCTCTATAATGATGAGGTTATAAGGTGAAGCCATTAATTAATTGAAGTATAAATATTCACTGCTTTTCAGTTCGTAACAAATTCCTTTTTGTTCAATAAGTTCCTAATATGTTATAGCCTGATAGACACGTTGCAGTAAATGCAAAACTCAAGAAATAAGATCGGAGTCTTGATTATCTTAATAAAATTAAGAACAAATATACTCTTTAACGCAAATAAATAAAATAACGCAACTAATAAAATACCTAACACAAATAATAAATAATAACTAACTAAATCGAAGCCTCCAGACCGAAGTGTGCTTGCCATCTTCACTAAATTTACATATCAATAACGGCTAATAATTAAAAATTAAGTAACGTGGACGAGCGTTTCTAATAATACTGCCTGTGCAAAAAATCAAATATCGAAGCATAAACTTATCAGCTGGAAGATTTATCATATAAATAATCATGAAACCAGTGAGAATATCGTAATAATTCGTTCATCAGTATATTTGTGAGAAATAACCCGTCTACTGCTCTAATATATTGTTCTATACATTAAATAATAAAAAAATATTAAACCAGTGAAAATAATAATATGTTCATCAGTATTTATGTTGGTAACTTCCATCTACTGCTCTAATATAATGTTCTATACATTTAATAATAAAAATAGTTATTAAACCAGTGAAAATAATAATATGTTCATCAGTATATATATATGTTGGTATATATATGAGTATATATGAAGTTATATATATATATAACTTCCATATATTGCTCTAGTATATTCTATATATACGCCTTATCACATCATCGTAAGAGAAACGGTAGTGAATAGACACTAACTTCTGAATATAAAACCTAAATTGTGATAATCATAAAATTCTCTCAATTTCTTCTCTTCAAAAAAGGATACCACATAAATTTACGTCACACATAAATACAATTCATAAAATATTACGAAAATTCTCTCAATTTCTTCTCTTCAAAAAAGGATACCACATAAATTTAGGTCATAAAATATTACGAAAATTCTCTCAATTTCTTCTCTTCAAAAAAGGATACCACATAAATTTATGTCATAAAATATTACGAAAATTCTCTCAATTTCTTCTCTTCAAAAAAGGATACCACATAAATTTATGTCATAAAATATTATTTACGTTCAAGACGAAGAAAATTGTAAGGCGCTAGGGGCGCCGTTGCCTGAGCGCTCGTCGTGCGCGGGTGAAATGAAGCGAAGCGTGACGACGGACTGCTGCTCCCCGCCCCAATATTGGTTATTGCGGCGGAGTGAGGCATCAGTGAGGCATCAGTCATTGCCTCTTGATGCTGGTCTCTGCCTCTTAGGGCTCTGCCTCACTATCTGATGCTGCTCCCCGCCCCAATATTGGTTATTGCGGCGGAGTGAGGCATCAGTGAGGCATCAGTCATTGCCTCTTGATGCTGGCCTCTGCCTCACTGTCTTGATGCTGGCCTCTGCCTCACTGTCTGATGCTGGTCTCTGCCTCTTGATGTAGGGCTCTGCCTCACTGTCTGATGCTGGTCTCTGCCTCTTGATGTAGGGCTCTGCCTCACTATCTGATGCTGCGGTGCTCGTGATGCCGCCGCTGTCTGATGCTGGCCTCTGCCTCACTGTCTGATGCAGGTATCTGCCTCTTAGGACTCGGCCTCTTGGGGCTGTGCCTCACCACCTGATGCAGGTATCTGCCTCTCAGAGCTCTGCCTCACTTTGTCTCACCACCTGATGCTGGTCTCTGCCTCACTGTCTGATGCTGGTCTCTGATGTAGGTGCTCTGCCAGGTTGTCTGCCACGCCTGCTTTTCTGCCTCAAACATCGCACCTTCAGAGTGCCGGGGAGTTGTTGGTTGTCGGACAGAATAATTTGTCGGTTGTGCTCGAGAAGTTGTCGGTTGTGCTCGAGAAGTTGTTGGTTGTGTTCGAGAAGTTGTCGGTTGTGCTCGGGAAGTTGTCGGTTGTGCTCGAGAAGTTGTCGGTTGTGCTCGAGAAGTTGTCGGTTCTGCTCGAGAAGTTGTCGGTTGTCGGAAAGAAGTTGTCGGTTTCGTTAGATTCGTTAATATGCCCGAATGATATATGAATATATTTAATATATATATATGAATATATTTAATGAATGAATATATGTTTTTTGCTCACTTATCGAATGCTCGCGGAAACGAATATGCGTTTTTATGAATGAATGAATATATTTTATGAATGAATATGTGTTTATTGCTCGCTTGTCAAATGCTCGCGGTAACGAATATGAGTTTTTTATGAATGAATGAATATATTTATATATGAATATGTGTTTTTTGCTCGGTTGTCAAATGCTTGCTGTAAGAAATATATGTTTTTATAGTGCAATTTACCAATTGGCTTTTGGTGTTACACGGTACTTTGATTTGCCTCCTTCAGGGATAAGCTATTATTGCTGTAAAATTTTCTTGCTAAGGTGGAAACTTTGTTTATGAAGCTTTGAACATGTAATGCATTGTCCGCTTCATAATTTTTAATGCATCATAATCTGTCTTATCTTAATTTTAACAAGGGGTAGACTATCATGCGTCAGAGCATAGCTCTGCCATGTAATGCAGTGTTACGCAACTCTGTCTTGCCTTGTGTTGCACGCAACATCATGCAGATTATAGTGGGTCAAAGCGTGACATGACGTCATTCAGGGTAGGTATGTATGAATGAATGCCAGGCATCTCCTCTCACTGATCCTTGAGATCCTTCATGACTTGTTGCTGCGGTAACGTGGGTTTAGCATGAACACTGGTATATTAATTTACTATAATTATACGATACAGATTCATCACTGTAATTATATTATATACCGGTACTAGGTATAATCATACGATACAGATTCATCACTGTAAGTATATTATATACCGGTACTAGGTATAATTATACGATACAGATTCATCACTGTAATTATATTATATTCCATCGTGGCCTGGGACTGCTACGTCCCGAACATATTCTAAGGAAACTAATGAATATTGTTGCAGGGCTGGCTGGTGTGCGAGGATCCTGGCTGCAGTAACCGCTGCCGCAGGATACCCTTACGCTTCGTCAGAGGCTTCCCGGTGTGCAACGTCTGCTGTAAAGCCGTCCTTATACGCGAGGTATGAACCGGGTTGCTAGTAGGTGTGTAGGAGGGCAGGAATAAAGGTAGGAGTGTAAGGGACCCGGGGTGTTGTGGTGGCTAAGGAAACCGGGGTGTTGTGGGGGATAGTAGGTGTGTTAGAGCGTAGGACTAAAGGTAGGAGTGTAACGGCTAATCTTTGAAAGAGAAATGACCGTATGAAATCTATGAAGATTGTGTGGTCTTTTAGGGTAACTATTTTATCCAGTAGATATTCATGATTGTGAAGATTTGAACACGTAATGCATCACTCGCATCGTAATGTAATGCATCATAATCTGTCTTCTCTTGATCTTAACAAGAGGTAAGATTATCATGCGTCAGAGCATAGCTCTGCCATGTAATGCAGTGTTACGCAACTCTTGCCTTGTGTTGCACGCAACATCATGCAGTTTATAGTGCGTCACAGCGTGACAGATTCATCATTGTAATTATATTATTTACTATAATTATACGATACAGATTCATCACTGTTATTATATTATTTACTTTAATTATACGATACAGATTCATCACTGTAATTATATTATTTACTGTAATTATACGATACAGATTCATCACTGTTATTATATTATTTACTATAAATTATAGCATTTTACTATGAAAGTGTCTTCACAGTGTAATAAGAGCTCAGGAAATGAGGTCTCAAGACACGCGTTACTGTCGGAAAATTTCGTACTGATGTCACTTTATGTTTAGTGAGAACCTGTTCTGTGACTGAGGCTAAATAAGGGTAAAATATTTTAAAACCGAAATGTGCCTTTTTTCGTTCGATATAGGATCTATTTTTGAAGTGAATTAGTCTCTTTCATGTTGTATGAAACTGCACAATTCGATGCACCGATTCCTTATCTTAGATACAACAATGAATTTAAAGCAAAGAAAACGTCAAACACATTCACCATATCGAATTTGCTTGGCGTTTTCTTTACTTTTAAATTCTTTGTGAACTTGCGATGTAAGCAGACTGAGAATATAAGTATTTAGACACAACGATATTTCATTTTGAATGTAATGAAAGATAGTACAAAAATAACTATGTAAATATCCATACTGATAACAAATTTAATTTTAAATACCGTATAATGAAAGATACAAAAATAACTATCTAAATACAGTATCCATACTGATAACAAATTTAATTTTAAATACCGTATAATGAAAGATACAAAAATAACTATCTAAACACAGTATCCATACTGATAACAAATTTAATTTTAAATACCGTATAATGAAAGATACAAAAATAACTATCTAAATACAGAATCCATACTGATAACAAATTTATTTGTCAACAGTACACGGAATCTCAGCTGTACAAGCAGCTCTGCTTCTACGACTACATCTTCGACTTCCAAAAGGCGTGCGTCATGAACAAAGATGACCGTGAGTATGAGTATTGACACACTGTTTCATTCCACTGTTTCACCCACATTCCACGGTTTCACCCACATTCTACTGTTTCATTCCACTGTTTCACCCACATTCCACTGTTTCACCCACATTCCACTGTTTCATTCCACTGTTTCACCCACATTACACTGTTTCACCCACATTCCACTGTTTCACCCACATTCCACTGTTTCACTCACATTCCACTGTTTCCACTGTTTCACCCACATTCCACTGTTTCATTCCACTTTAGTCGTCTCGCTTTCACGAAATCCAATGTCTTCTTTAAAGTTACAGTTCTTCTAGGCTTGAATAATTGATATATTAAAGTAAATATCAAGAGGGCTGCATAATGATGCGATATATACTTCGCATCAAAATACATATTATTTCAAGTTTACCACAGCCTTTTGCCAGGTCAAGTTTATCGGTGGTTTTATTATTTTTCTCATGTTATTTAATCAATTTTTTTGTCAGTAAATTTTCATTAATATCTCATAAATCCGAATTTTTCATCACTTAGGAACTTGCGTCAAACTAATTTGCTTTAACTTGTTGAAAACTAAAAGTTGTCTTACCGAGAACCTTGAAGAATTCGACAATTATGATACATGTTTTATATTCGTGAATTAAAGTATTAAAGTAACGTATATCCTTTCATTTGAACTTTACTAGTTCACGTTGCATGTGTCTACTAAACAATAAATTCATTAATGCTAGTCTAATTAAATTTATTTGTAAAGTTATCAATTACGAATGATTAAAGTTGGCATTATGAACTTCATGTTTCAAATGACTGCAGTTTTAAGTTGTCTTTTGGATATACTTTTATATATATATATTTTTGATATACTTTTAAATATATGTATATACTTTTATATACATATATACACTTTTATGTGTCTTATAACCGTTAATTTCTGATGCAGTTTTAAGTTATCTTTTTGATATACTTTTAAATATATTTATATACTTTTAAATACATACCTATATACACTTTTTATGTGTCTTATAACTGTTAATTTCTGAACAATTTTTCTAATATTCATCAATTTTCCCAGACATTCGCAACGACAGCTTGAGGAAAGCGTACATGGTTCTCCGTAACGAGGTTCTCAGAGTTCTCAGCCTGAGTGCCTACTCTCAAGTGGACCTCGACGGACTCTTCGCTAACCTCTTCATGAAGACAAAGTGAAATGTAAAATTTGTGGATCAATTACATCAAATTTATGGATGAATTGCGGCGAATTTATTTGGAATTGCGTAAAATTTATGGATAAATTACGTCAAATCTTTATATGAATTGCGGCAAATTTTTGGATGAATTGTGGCAAATTTATGGATGAATGGCGGCAAATTTTTGGATGAATTGTGGCAAATTTATGGATGAATGGCGACGAATTTATGGATGAATTACGTCAAATTTATGGATGAATGGCGTCAAATTTATGGATCGATTGCAACGAATTTATGTATGAATTACATCTAATTTTATAGCGAATGTGTTGATGTAGACTGGGGCTTGCTGACCAATTCTCAAGAATGTTAATGTAGATTGTTGTGCTTAACTACCTTTACTATTTGCTGCTTCCAAATAAAGTGAGATTGTATTTGATTAATCAGCTGAATTGAAAGCATAATTTCAAGTTGCCGTCGAATATTGAACGATATTTGATATAAATATTATAGAAAACATTTTCGTACTTACACAAAATATGAGAATGGTAAAGCGAGTTGGGGGAATATTTTTCTGGACAATTTAGTGAAATGGATGAATATTCGAATAAACGAAATGGAGGAATATTCTATTTACTCGTTTGCTGTACATAATAACATAGCATAAAGTTATCCTCCGTGACTTGGATGGACTGCTCAAAAGTTAACGGTTAGAAAAACTAATGTGAATATGAATTCTCCCGTGTATTCAAACGGGTATTGTGGGAAATACATGTGCTTAAATAAATCTGTAGCAATAATTCCTAGATTTTATTGCCACATTTTTAAATATGTTACTTAATAATTGATTTGTAATTGGTTTGGTTTGATATAATCGCTTTGACGGCTGGGTTGATTTAGTTGACTGCGTTGCCGCTGTCGTGGTGAAATGTACGTAGATATTCAGTGACTTTTATCCCTAGCTTTTGAGTTATGTTTCTTTATTTGACTTATTGGAACTGGCGTGTTCCCATCGTAGATATTCAGTGACTTTTATCCCTAGCTTTTGAGTTGTGTTTCTTTATTTGACTTATTGGAACTGGCGTGTTCCCATCGTAGATATTCAGTGACTTTTATCCCTAGCTTTTGAGTTATGTTTCTTTATTTGACTTATTGGAACTGGCGTGTTCCCATCGTAGATATTCAGTGACTTTTATCCCTAGCTTTTGAGTTGTGTTTCTTTATTTGACTTATTGGAACTGGCGTGTTCCCATCGTAGATATTCAGTGACTTTTATCCCTAGCTTTTGAGTTATGTTTCTTTATTTGACTTAGTGGAACTGCCGTGTTCCCATCGTAGATATTCAGTGACTTTTATCCCTAGCTTTTGAGTTGTTTTTCTTGATTTGACTTAGTGGAACTGCCGTGTTCCCCTCTTGTGTAATATTTCTGAATAGATATTGTCACGTGTGATGTTACACGTAGCATTGGGAACAGTTTTATCTCGTTTGACCCCTGAAAAATGAAGTTGTAAATACCTGAATTGAACTATACTTCTTCCACATTGATAGATCAGGCTGTTACAATAGCGTCACAGAGATCAGGCTGTTACAATAGCGTCACAGAGATCAGGCTGTTACAATAGCATCACAGAGATCAGGCTGCTACAATAGCGTCAGAGATCAGGCTGTTATAATAGCGTCAGAGATCAGGCTGTTACAATAGCGTCACAGAGATCAGGCTGTTACAATAGCATCACAGAGATCAGGCTGCTACAATAGCATCACAGAGATCAGGCTGTTACAATAGCGTCATAGAGATCAGGCTGTTACAATAGCGTCACAGAGATCAGGCTGTTACAATAGCGTCACAGAGATCAGGCTGTTACAATAGCGTCACAGAGATCAGGCTGTTACAATAGC